GGGGGGGGGAGGGGGGCCTTAATTAAATAATGCCCGGGGAATTTACGGGCAGCGTGATTCGATATAAAAGGTCCGAGGGAAAAAAAAGGAAGAGAGAACGGGTGCTACGGAATTAAATAAATAAAACGAGGAAAAAGAGAGAGAGAGAGAGAGAGAGAGGAAAAAGTAGGGGGAGAAAATTCGATCGAACCTGCCTCGACTTCAGTATTTTCCAGTATTTTCCATATTTATCCGCGTTCGACAATCGTGCAAATCTATCGTATAAATTCTCTGTCGCCTTCTTTTTGTCGTCGAATTGACTCCCCAGTGGGATAAAAAGATCTCTTCGTCTCTCGTTTCACAGTCACGTTATTTTATCATTCGTTTACTTCTCACGGTTTTGTTTCTTTTATCTTATTTACTCGTTTAATTATCATTTCACTTCATTTGTGTCGTCGTATCGTTTTATTCCTATAGTTTCACATTTTTCTTTTTTTTTTTTTTTTTTTTTTTTTTTTTTAAATGTGACATGATTATGGTAACATCGATACGTTGGCAAGGAGCGGGCTACGCGTTTGCAGAAAAGATGAGGCGGATTTATGAATTGTCGAAAAATATTCGGAACGGTTGTTGTGAAATTTTACGGATTTTATGAATCATTGAATCCAACGTTACGTTTGTACGATAACGTTCGTACAGATTATATTGTTTGTTTTCGCCACCCATTATGGAGGGGATTTTTTACAGGGGTTGTTGTAATTACTCTCCATTGCGATGATCCCTCGATTCTCCAATGTAAAATATTTTTAATAATAATTAATAATCGATAACCTGATATTTATTACTCGTTAGAAGAATAATTTAATGCAACGTTGTATCAATAATCTGTCGGTTGGGCTCCGCTCTTCGAAAGTATGGAATCGATATCGATTTGAATAGAAATGAAACGAAGAAAAAAAAAAAAAAAAAGAAAAAGAAAATGTTGAAAAGCATTTACGAACAGGGAAGAATTAAAATCAAGAATATAAGAGTATTAAAAAAAAAAAAAAAAAAATTGAAAATAAATGAAAATGCAGAAATTAAACGATACAAACTGGATCAAATCCTGACATACAACCGAAAGTAATCTGACGCTTTAATAACCATAAGTCCGTTAGCCTGACATAAACCAAACATTCCAATTCAAGTTCCTAACCCTAATTGTATCTCATACCAACCCGACGTTTACACTGAAACAAGCATTTTAATACCAATATAAAATCTGCATAAAAATTCAAAACTCTCGCTCAAGTTTAATGGAATTTATGTATCTCGAGCATGCTGCAAATGTTCGCCCGATGCAGGCACGATCGTAAAAAGTGGGCTTAAGATTATTCGGTGAAACTGTTTCGGAAGAACGATCGGTCGTGTACGATGTTAAGCACCCGCAGCATTTATTATTCCGTGATTTTTATCGAGTGAGTATAAATGACTCACTCGATACTTCGTAGTAGGAAAGAAAGGGGAGAGAAAAAAAAAAAAAAAAGGAAAAGAGGAATGTGACTCAGCCGCGATACGAAAGTTTCTCCCCGCCCTGACAATTCGGTCAACCCTCCGGGTGTCCCGCTAAACCGATAATAACGTCCGGTAAAAACGGCAATTCGCCATGGAGTATGCTGAACCTCTATCCGAATCAAGAATATGGTTGGATCCCTATCAGATTAGAGGTGTTTCGAGACAGACTGTGTCAAACGTACAACGAATCACGTTGTTTTCTCTCGGGATACAGGATAAGATATGTAATTCGTGTTTCACGATTTTTAAGAGCTCGAGAATTTCCTTTGTATTTGTTTAGAATTTCATTCATATCTGGGCTGTGATCAGAGTTGAATGAAATAAATTCCACTGAATAAGAATTTCAATTGAAACAATTTTTAAAACAGTTTTTAAAAAATATTAAAAAACAATTTGAATTCGAATGTTATGCTCGTGTGTCGGAGCATATTGCGTTGTGAGTTATTGGGTTAAGTTAGAGACCACGTTAATGCGTTAGGTTTAGGTTACAGATCAAATTATAGTGTAAGGCTATAGTAACATAGTCCGAGTTAGGATCGAATTAGAGTTAGAATCTACTAAGTCTGAATTATGTTATGAGTCATGGTCAAGTTTGCGTTAGGCCTCTATCGAGGTATAGAGCCAAGTCTCTGTATCAGACACTAGGATTTATATCAAACACCGATCTGAATTAGAATTAGATCTACGTATTAATCCAGATTGGAATTAAATATTCTGTTGGATCCGATATATATTTCAAGCCTGGGTTAACCTCAAATTTGTACTAATCATAGATCTATATCTGGTTTAAATCAATATCAAATTATTATGTCTGACATGATCTATTATTAAGGTTGCATAAAACGTAAAAATAT